TTCTATGCGCGCGACGCACCCCGAATGAGAAATGATTTCCCATCGTCTGGGCGTTCGATTGCGTCACCATCGTTCGCGGATAAATTAACGTCGAGAAAAAGAAGAATTTCCGAGAAGTATAAAGTTGAAGAAGAATTATTACCCGTCCTTCTCCGCGCAAATAGGAGATAGAAATTGTCTTCTAAGTAGAAATAAAAGTTCCTTTTTCCCGGCGCGCAGTTTGCGCCGGTAATATTGATTGGCCTGCGGCGGTGAAAGCGTTAAAAGCGCACTCGGGATTGTTTTTTTGCTCCCTCCCTGTTCTGGCCGGTCGCGTCGTCATCGTTGGAAATTCCCAAAAGTTCTCGCCGGGTTGTCAGTGACGTAACGTTTTGCGTCCTGGTTAGCAAACTGCTCCAAGGCGTTAGCTCCAACTGCGACGTGAAACGTCGTCGGCTAGGAGTTTTTCGTCACGCCCGTCGTGCCGTTGCCGCCGCCTGTTCCCCCGCGGATTCTCCTGTCGAGTTGTTCCCCGCGCCATTGTCGAACCGGCCCAACCGGCCCGGGTGATTTTCATCAGCGACGATTGTTCGTATTCCTTGGCCGGGAGTTGCCACCCACCCGCCCGCTCCTGCCTACTGCGCTCCCCGAGGTCGAATAATTCACTTCCCGCGGTTCCGGCATTACGCCCGCCCCGGACTTCCGCATAAATTCACCTCGCGCCGCTAAATCGTGGCCGCGCAAACTTAGAAACACGGCCACGCGGCTTATTATCTCGAAGACAAACGCGCGTCTACCACGATGGCCGATAAATCGACGCGGCGAGACCGCTGGTTCTCGACTGCAGTGTTCTTCATGAGTGAAAAAAGAAAATTCAATCATGTCACGTGTTACGAATGTCAAAACTGTAAATTTTAAAGCAATTTTATCGCGTTAAACGTTATTGAAAAAAAAAAACAGAAAAATCAGATGATCACACACCTACAAAACAAAACACTGCATCGAACAAAAGATTGGTCTTCCTTTTTGTTATCGAAATCGCAATCTTAGAGGTCATTCTTTTTTCGCTTCTGTCACGTGAAAGTGTACATTCTATTGTCCGAAGGAATGTGATGCGCTTCGACAGGAGGGAACGAAATCGATTAAAGCGCAGCTCCGTGTCGGACCTGGAATGCGACCTCGTCGCCAAGTAAATGATACCGCGTATCTTTTTCGCGCTTCCGGCACGAGATTCAGCAGAGATGGACTTAACCTTTAACCGGGATATATCCGGGCAGCATTCCAAATTTTACGACGTGGAAATGGGCGATATATACGATGACTTACCGGTTTGTGACCCTCCGCATATCGCCGTAACAGAGAAATCGTGAATCGATGGATATATTTACTGCTGTCGATGCGACAATAAATCGTTAAATGATCAAAGTAAAGTTAAAATACCCTCGTGATTTTTTATGTCTTTCGTGCATGGAAAAGAATTTCCAGTTTGCAATCTCTCGCGATATCGCGAAACAAAGAACGGAACTGTTGCAAAAACAATTGTTAAATAATCTGTTGGCAAGTATAGCGCTGGTTTTCGTCATCGAATGTTTTTTGTCGATTGAAAAAGCAAAACGCGTCTTATATCAAAGATCAGCGTCCTGGATTTATTGCGTTTCCAACTTTAACAATGTCCGAGAAAACTTGCCTATCGGGTGCGCGACTTTAACCGAGTTCGAGATGAGTTCGAGCTGCAAGGCGACAGATATACCGGAGAACTCAATCCATACCTCGCGCAATTCAGTTGAGCGGAACTTCGCTGGTTTATTGGTCCGTCGAACGAGGATTTCGTGGAAAATAAAATAAATGTACCGAGCATGGACCGTCGCGAAGCGATAAGTCAAACTATTAGACGTACACTAGTGTTTTCTGGCTTTACCATGTTCGTATTTTCAACAATTCTTAGAGTAAATTGTTTTGTCGCAAACTTGTGAGAGAAATTTATAGTACAATTAATTCGGGCTTTCAATTTTCTTCGGTTTTTTGTCTCTCTAAGCACAATTTCATCAAGAATTACAAATTGGCGAAGCGAGATACTATACGATTTGCAACATATCGTCACATCGATATTCATTATTCAACGTTTGTATAACACGTGTTATGTACGTAAAACACGTTACACCTACTTGAACCTACTTGGAAACATCTCGAGTCACCTTGACGTTAAGCAGCTTAAACGGCTGATACATACGTGTACGCTGTTCCGTACATCGGATTAGCTGCGCCTAAGGGCTCCTTGTTTCTACGCGCTGTAAATTGGAATCTGTTCTCTATTACTGACACTCAGACCCGACACAATTTCTCCTACGGTGAGTGCTAAGCACGAGCTTGAGCGACTCAGAGACAAAGCCACATTGCAACGAAGATCGTGAAATACGTGATTCTGTACAAAGAGACGCGAGATACATGCGCACACTCGTGTCCGAAATTGTTATAGCAAATGTGTCGTTAATAAAATCGCGTGATACGTGAAATTAACATTTTTGTACATGTTCACATATAAAAGAAAAACAAAGGTAAGCAAATTTTACAAAATCCAGAAGTTGTTTTATTTTTTCTTATCGAATTGCAAAAAATTACATGTCTTTGGTTTGATTCTTTATTAATTTAAAGAAACACACAAAGCAAATTACGTGTACGTTGTGTAAAGATACAAAGCTTATACGAGCGTGTTAATCCTATATTGTTGCTATCGCAAACGCGAGCGCAAGTTGGGCGAAGTAATTATTCTGGCAAGTACGCCGCTCGACGTTGATACGTAACTGAACTGAGAATTATTCGGTGTAATCTACATCATCGTAATGTTCCACAAACTGAAATCGATTATTTGCCACGCTGAACTTCCATTAGTTCGCGAGCTGTGCTTATGAATCTGACAGTTGTAATGTAAGCGCAATTAAACGCATATCAAAGCGACTGTAAACTTTTTAGATTTCTGTTTCGTTGAAATTATCGTATTGCTCGCGGTGCAAGAAAACCTTGAACGAGGAAAATAATCTGAGGATTTCGAGCAAAATGTACTTAGTTTCCTACTCGTGGATTATTGATCTAAAGTAGCACAAACACTATGTAAGGAGACAGTGGAAAAGGAAAGATGGATGCGCCGTCGGGTCACAAAGAAACTAATCTCCAATACAGCGTAATGTAAAGCTGATGGCCCCCTTTCGAGATCGAGAAAAAACGACCTGTCGGAATACGGTCAGCGCATCTTTTGCATCACAAACGTCGATTTCGCAGTGAATCTTGACCGGACCTTTGTAAGAGATTTCCAGTAAGACGTAGACACTATAGAGCTGTTTTGCTTTAAATAATACGATTATTGTATAAAAAGATCTTGTTAAGATAAATACTTCACATGATCACATAATTTTTGTCAAAAACGAATTTGTTTAACGCTCTCAGTTTACGTAATTATTATTTTTTGTACTCAATTGTTTTTAGCAAACAAAGTCGTTTTACGATTAAAACGAGAGAGAAAAATTGTGGTGCACAATTTTCTTTTTCGATCGTGTCAATGCTAAAAAATTGTGAAAATTTTCCGGCCCTTCTAGTCTCGACATCGTATTCGAAACGTCAACGGCACTCGCGAGATATGATGTCGATGATGTCATATGGGAGGCTGTGCAAATTTTCTCGAACGATCACGTTCGAGAAAATTTTTGATGATTGACAAATTTCTGAATTCATTGTGTGTGTATGTGTTTTACCACTTATACCTAGAAATAATTTTATTTAAACCAATGTTTATACATTTAATTTATTCAAAATTTATAAAAAAAAAAAGTAGTTGAGTCAAGAAATGTAATTTAACATTGATATTCCAAAATCAATAACGTTGCATAGTTAGTCGTTCTTCACACAAGACCGACGCTTTGCCTTGTGAATACTCTTTATCTTTTCACAAGACTGGGCTATGCGTCTTCTTCGACACATCCATTTTGTGCCGCTCACGATAGAATCGAGACGCGGCTCGGGATGACAGCTCGGCAAGAATGCGCCCGGTCATCGCAATGTGATATCAAGCCTGAACCGTGACGAGAAGAATCCACCGAGTGAGAGGTGGACAGTTGTGGTGTGACTTATCGATCGAACATTATCGAGATGCATCCTTCTCATTTTTCAGTATCTCTTTGTGTAAAAGGGCTGCATTGATGTATCTTTCGAAGTAGTCGCTAGATAAATAAACAAATGATGAAAGAACTAGATATGTTGTATAAATTTTAACGCGTTATAAACATTTTAAAATAATATTTTTGAGGATATCTACACGCGCGAACGTTAGAAAAAATATTATAAATGTTAAAATAGTCTCAAGCTTGCTGATATAATTAAACATTCTTCACACACGTCGCTATTATAAGTATACAAAATGCATCGTATCGCACACGCGTGCAAAATATAAACGTTTTCTCTCTTTGTCATATCAGACGTGACTGTTACAAAATCGCTCGTAGGTAATCGGTCGTATTTTATCAATTATCGATGCTTTTAATCGAACACCGCTGCAACAGCAATAACGCACCATATCGGTGGCTGGCCATCAATTTTTTTGAGCTTAATCACGCACCTTTTATTACATCGTGATATAGCTTTATCGAGCAGTTCGACGCAACACGTGTAAACTCGCGTAAACGAGCGCTCACCGATTAAAAACTGTCTCTCGCCGATTTATTTCTCCCTCACGCTTTCCTGCTTTATGTTTGCGTTTACTCGCGTTCTGTGAAATCGCATTTGCTCTTTGCGGCGCAAAATTTCTCGGAACAATTATTTGCGACAGTTTATACGGGGGAAGCGCGAGGCATAATCTCGCATTACATATCTAGCACGAATTGACATTGCACACGCATTATACGTGTGGCGCTATTTATTTTTAAAACCTTTGAATCTCTATTTTAAGTAAAGGACAACAAATTACAAATATTAATATACATACGTTTATTTATATAATCTTGTATTAATCGCAATATCGTTTTCTGTTTCAGAAGCACGAGCTAGAATACTCGGCCCGACGGAAATTTACGTAAAGACCGGAAGTCTTTTGACGTTGACGTGTCTTATGTCACAAGGTCCTCATGACCTGGGAACGGTGGCCTGGTACCGGGGTAATCAGGCGGTGGTAACGTCACCGCGATCAGAAAATGACATCGAAACTGAGCCCCGCATAAATGTCGAGACGGAATGGAGCGACGCCCTCGCATCGAGGTACATAAAAAAATTAATTAAACGTTATATCTTATATCTATAAGTAGTTGAAGTTTTACCAAGATATAAAATTTATTATTTTTCACTAATCAAGTTTAACGCGAATAAGACAAGTTAATAAAAACCGTGATTGAGTTTTTTTCGCGTGCACAGGAATAAACTTTGTTCGCAATCTCGAGCGACGACGGTGCGTATTATAATTTATTTTTTATATATCAAAAACTTCCCTGACTTATACGCAAAACTCGTTTTCACGCTTGTGAACAAAATAGAAAAATAACTCGTCATGCTTGTCGCATATCCAGAGTCATCATTTCCGCACGGAGTGAAACCCCCGTAAACGAGTACACTCGGGTGATATTGTTACGAAGTGCTATTTAATTTTTTACACCGGCTCCAGTCGGGCAAGTACGACTAAATAAAAAATAAAGATCGCGCTCACGCGCGCACACTATGTTTTTCCGGTGGTCACATTTTAACGCAGTTTAAATATTTCAATTTTCGTCGCATCCCTTCAACGCATTTTATAAATTGGATTCCGCAGCGCGACCGAGTGCGTTTTTACCTTAAGCGACACAAGCATACCGCAATTTTGTAAAATTGAAAGACTCAGCGTGACACATTTACGTCGAACGAGTAAAATATATCGACGAGCGGTTGAGAAACGGTTATTGATATAAGTATTAATATGAATAAAAAAAGAAACTTAATTTCTTTTTATGACTTTACACATCACAATACGAGCGCATTCAGAACACGCGATTGATTTCAGCTGTCTTCGGCTTTTCGCTGGGATATTTTTTTCTTGCACACATTTCTTTGTGGAATCGTCCGTCGCGTGTACAATATTTCATCGCACACATTGTACCATATCTTTTTCGAGCCGCCGGTGAAATAAATAAATGGTCCTCCGCTTATCCCCTCTCGCGCCCAGGGGAAATAATGAGAAATAATGGCGCGCTGGGTGGTTGTCCCGCCGGTCCTACACGTCGTCGTGTGGCTCTTTGAAAAACTGATTCCGCGCTCAAATTAATTTATTTCCAGATACCCGCGCGGCACTGCGGGACCGCTTTGAAAAAAGCGAGTAATATACACACTGCCGAAACATCTTTCGCTAACGATGATAGAAAATTGGTTTTAGTTAATTGCTTATTAAATTAGCTTAAAATATGAAGAAATATTTGAAAATTCACTCTTTAATTTTCACGTAAAAATCGAAGAATTTAAAAAACTTCATCTTGATTCTCGGAATGAAAGTTACATTCATGCTATTCTATAGTGACGTCTGATTATTCTAATTGTCCGGCGCATGGTCGAGACAACAGGGTCCTTTGTCACGTGGTCCGCGCACCGTGAAGACGCATCGGACATACCCTGCATTTCGGGCGACCTGACTGTTTAGTCGGGCTGTTTGTGTCGGCTCGAATATTGCGTCGCCGTTGTGCTCGCCGCGTGTCCGTTTTTGGACGTGATTGACGATTGTCACGATGACGCTGTTACACTGCAGCGTCGCCGACAAATTTACGACGCCGCGGCTCAAGAAGCGAATTAATTGTCGCGGCGGCTACCGGTCCGCGACTTCCGTCTCGTGCGCACATCCGCTTACAGTAAATCCGGCGGGATTACTCTCGAAAGTACAGCGGTCGCGGTCGGAATGTCGTCATTTATTTAACGACATATGTTGTTTCGCTCTCTAAATTACTCAAAATTTGTCTCATATCTAAAAACAATACATGAAATTTAGCATGTAATATCTGTAGAAACATTTTCGTATAATATTCCAGAACAGAGTATATATTATTTCCATAAAAAGAACAAGAATATTCAAATTTGACACGAGCTAATCTACGAGCCTCGATTTTCAAGACTGAAATCTTCGCGCACATAAATCGCCCGAGGTCTCGATAATGTAGTGTGTAACCGGATATCGTTTTATTCCGTCACATCGAGATTATCCGGTCTTCCTCTCAGGCGATGGTGGTGGTCTCGTTGTCGAGAAGAAGGGGCTTAGTCGGTGACATCGCTATACATTTTCATTATCCCGGGATCTCTTCGTCGTGTCTATAACTGCTATAAAGGTCGTCGTTGCTGCTCCAGCATCGCAATAATTATTTCGTGGAGCATTCAGTTCGCGGAATGCGGTAACCACATTGCAGGACGGCGTTATGTAACCTTAAGCGGTCGTTATTGGTCCCACGAGCGCGATGCATTACGACACCGTGCGATGAAGCTAACTACTGAAATACAACAAGTAAATGAGTAATCGATAATCTATTGGGAGCGCTTCGCAACTTCTTCGCGTGACGTTATATATCGTGTAACGGATGTCCTCATTGTCCGTGCACATATACAGGATGCTTAAAAGAACTGTTAAAATATATAGAAAATAATATACGTCCTATTGTGTATTTTATTTTTTTTTATAGTCAAATGTGGAGACAAACAGGGACTCTTTGAAAAAATGTATTTGTATCGTGACATTTTTATCAGTTTTGCTTCTCGAAAAAAGTTACTTTTAAATATTAATATTTTATGAAACAACCTGTATATACATATCTACAATTTATATATAATACGTATATCCGGCAAAACTGTGTAATCGTTTCTTAAAACTGACACTATGTGCAATATTAAAAAAATATATTAACGTAGATTATGTACGTAAATAAATTACTCGTTAAATATATTTGTAATCGATACTCTATTAGAGATTAATTAAAACTTCTGCGAAAACTTTTATCTCTCTTTTACTTGAACTTTTATTCTCTTTTACTGAGGAAAATGTAGAGAAAGAGTAGGTTGAATTTTTGCACACTCCTTTCGTGGCATGTTTGTACGGAAAGTTTAACAAAGATAATTATTGAACTTAAAACCTGAAAAATAGTCGGAAAGTTTAGAGCAGTTTTTCATTCCGGTGTCGATCGGCAAACAATCGCAGGCAGGATCTCTCTTTTTAATACCTTACAGGATAGAATTGTTCGAAGCATGTTTTAGCCGCTTTTCCAGCTAGCTTGCCGTTAAATTAGCCGACCGCCGATTAACTTTCGCGTGTCCGCGTAACTTTATCTCTCTTACGCGTAATTGCGTGCTTATCCGTCCGCCGGTGCCGATTAGCATAACACGACCGTGCGATGTATTTTTACATCGAGTCCGGCCCGGAATTTTCTTTCCAAATTGTGTTTTGCGTGTTTGGAACAATTTAATACCTAACATTTGAGAAATTTTGCGCTCTCACTGCATCTGTAAAAACTTTTGTACATGCGATACGTTGCGGAAATCTGAACTTCTTCCGATTTCCATCGATTCATTCGACATACGATGTACTATAGTTCATGACGGTAACGAACATGTCGAACAAATAGAATGGGAAACGAATGAAAAAAATACTCTGGTTTTCGATTATCACAGCTGGCTAAGGTTGGAATACAATGTAAACTCTATGAGAGCGAAAAACCGACTGAGTGTAAAAGTTGAAATCGGTTTGATCGTTTTTTTGCGACCAATTAGAGCAAAAATCATAAAAATTTTCAATAATAAAATTAGAAATTATAATTTCAGTTTTAGACAGTATTTTGTAGTAGTAATTGATTATTATGTAGTTTCCAGCATAGTTTTTTAAAATACGAACAATGTTGCTGCGTAATATTATGTTTTTGTATCTTGCATCATGAATCGCACATGAATGAATTAATAGAGATATCTCAAAATCGTATTATAGATTATGTAGCACGATGAAATTTGTGGATGGATATCATGAATATCTTCGACAAAAGTATGCATGATGTGTGCATTACGCAGAGAGGAAAATGTGTAATTGGACCGCTGCTGCTAATAACATCGTTCGGATAATTATCTCTGAATTAACGATACTTCATTGTTAGTTGCGTCATTAGTTATTTTATACGATCCTCCTGTACTTTCTACTGACTTAATGAAATTACATGCTGCCAACGATATTTAATTAAGCCGATCTTGTTAAAGCAAAGCGATAACACGCTATCTTGTTAAATCGTTATCGTTTTTAACAACTTTTATAACAACATTGACGCGTTTTGTCATCTATGTTGTTTATGCGGAAAATTGTCAATTTGATATTTATGTTACTGTCACCGTGGTCGATTTAAAAAATATCTTCAACATACACGTGACAGGTACGGATATCATGCACGAAACACGATGTAATGTATCTGTACTACGTATAATTTACCGATAAACTATTATCTTTTGTGTGCGGCAGATTGAGGATTACGCATGTGAAGCCCAGTGACTCCGGAAACTATAGTTGCGTTCCTACCGTGGCAGAGAGAGCGAGTGTCAACGTGCACGTGATCAATGGTAAGTCCGTCAGAAATGCCATAACTGATCCACGCGACAAGATAATCTCTATACATACGTCGATCACTTATCCCGGGGGTTGTTGCGATATATCCGGTCTGCATTTATCACACTGCATTAACTCTTTCACGCATGATACATCCCTTCACTGACAATTTAATCCTTTCGCACACGTGCTTGCAGAAAATTAAAATTAAAGCGATACGTCTTTGACTAGAAAATTGGAAAAGTTACATTCATTGGTTAAATGACAAACAATAATGTGCAAACAACCGTGCCCGCTTTAATCAATTTCGTAATTACTAACATGCCATGTTCTATATTCTATAGTTTTTTGAAAGCAACTTTTATTTTCTTTATTTTTTTCACTTTTTAAAAAAATATAAAAATAATTAAAACAAGATGAAAATGTACATAGAAAAACAGAAAATTTGTATCAACAAATAACTCACTTGCGGTATTGTATTTTGAAAAAAATAGTCAAAAGGATCTACTTACTGAAAAAAACAAGTAATTTAATGAAGAATACGTATAAATCATACACGAACCACATTGTTGGCTTATTATCCGGCATAGTTGATGTTTTTTGCTCACATTTTTCCGTCTACTTTATACTGCCTGATAACATAAAAATAGTCGGATACCGCCGACGGCGAGCCGCATTTTCTGACCGGGTCCACGAAAAAGTGTAATATCCAGCAGAAGGAAGATTCGCGAAGATGAAAGGCAGAACGTGCAGGCCGCTTGAAAGGCGAGTTCTCTGCTGGTGGCTCTGCTGGTAGACGATCGAACGCGAATTACAGTTGACCACGAGAAAACCTCTGGATCGCGTGTATATACATATATATCCCCGGCTCTCACTAAACCATCTGACAGCTGAGAAAATGACGATTACTCATGGTTACAAATACCCCGATATTTGTTCTTATTGGACTATTTTGTTCTCTAATAATTTCCGAGGTGTACGATTAAATTGCTTATCGCACGTTTGCCGTAATTATTGATTAATGATGAAACATTTTAAATTTGATAAAAACTTCTTTTCAAACTCGTAACTGGATCGTAAAGATATTGTATTGCAATTTGGTACATTTTGTTTCAAATCTGCCGCGCACGGGCTCATGCCCGGCAATCGGAAATTTACGGCATCGCCGAGTCGTTAAACAAGCATATTTCAACGGTCGCACTCCGGAATCGTCGAAACAATGTAGCGCGCGTGTTTTACATTAATGCAAGCGTAATTAATGCGTCGACGTCTTTGTTGCATGCGAGTCGCAATATCAGAGATATAATAAACCGTTTTACTGCCTAACCGCAACTACTATATTTGAAGGAAAGAGAAGTTATACGTACACGTATATAACTTATGCATACTAGGTGACTCAACACAGCATACTAGCCATTCTCTGCTTCAACAATTCTCAACTGGTTTTGACTGAATCTACTATATTAGTATATTATTATCCTAGTATATATTAGTATACTAGTCACACTTACATACATACAAACTTACAAAATTAGTTTTTTCTTAGATATTTTTGTTTATTTTTTAGTAAATTAGACATTTATGGAATTTAAACAAATTTGTAAAATTTTTCTAATAATTATACTATTGGTGTGGCATTGATAGGGCAGTTTTGCGAATTTGTAGTTGAGAATCACTGTGTAATATGTGCTAGCAATTTCCTGCACGGAGCAGCATTTTAAATACATGCGCGCATTTTATCAGAAAAATACCTGACTGTTTGTTTAAAAAAGAGATAATAATTTTTTTTGTCGTTCGATTTGTCTGTAGCTGAAATGAATTATATGCGCTCGTTAAACCTTTCGTATTTGTACCTTCATTCGCGGGATAAAAATTTTTATTGCACGATTTTTATTTTCATAGGTATTGAATGTTTTATGCGAACATAATGGCGTTTGCGCTTGTTTCAATCGATTTGTACGTACTACATCTGCGAATAAAATTTTATATGTACTTGTTCTTTTTTAATTCTAGTTCTGTGCAAACTTTGCGTGAAATTGAAAGAGAATTATAAACCAAACGATTAGATAAAATAATATTTTAATTTTTTTTTATGATACGTTTAATATTACTTTGTACATCTTAAAGTTTGATTAAAACCGTGCTCGACATCAAAAGACTAAATCTCTTGTTTCATTTTAAAAGTCTACGAGATGTAATGAATGTCTTTAAAGAATTATTGCGTGAAAAATATATGCGCGTTTAATAATTTTTGTGTAAAAGCGTCACTTGCAAAATCAAAATGTTAATTATTAACGGAAATTGATGAGTGAATCACGCCGTATGGAGAACAATTCGTGAATTTGTTCGAGCGGATAATAACTTTTCCAAATGCAAACGTGCGGAATTTGTTGACAGCACGAACGTATGAAATAATTAGATGTGATAAATGTGCGTGATAAGAGAAAAATCGCACGCTATTATTATTATCGTGGATAAAATTTTTTTTAATCGAATATGTATGATCGACGAAAGCGACGTCGTAGATGTAGTCGTTGAGAAAACGCCAATTTTTGTATAACTCGCAATGTGCATATTTCCAAAAAATAATATCAAGAATATACAAGTAAAGTTTCAAATAATATAACTTGGTTTTTTTTTAAAGATTAATAACCGTTTTTCGACAAATAAATTTTCATGTAAATTCAATTGTTTTAACGTACATAATGACACGGCGCGATAATGTATCCCCTATGGAATCGCACTTGTTTGATCTATTTTTGATATAGATAATTTCCATCGATGCAAAAGTTAATTACTTAAAGCAGAGCCAGTTCAATCGATCTGCGCAAAATTCTTTAATTACACTATCTGCCGAAGCGACATCGACAGATCAGCGATCGGATTTTCGTTTGCCGTACTTGCACGAGAAAAAGTTTCGTAGCTGCAAACACGGTCATCGATCCGACATCGATCTATTCGGACACGTTGAGTCATTGAACAGGCTTTTAGTCTGCATCGCTTATTCCGTTTAGTATAATTTCAATATCGATCGCGCCGAATGCGTGGCAACGATACAGAATCCCTCTCTCTTGCTTGCGCGCGGATGAGAAATGTAAGTAAATTTGATTTACATGAGAGCGCGAGACAGATTAACATAAAATCGATACGAGTTTTTCTTTTGTCGGAATAACTGAATTTCTTTTCCGCGATATGACGACAATTAGACCGCGTTAAATATTGTTACGTGTAGAACAAGACACATTTATAATAATAATAGGTAAAAGTAAAATAGCAGAAGCTCACAATTACATTATTACTACCTACAGTTAGTAAAGAAATTCGTATAAATTTAGAGATAATTCGACTTCTCGTGTGCTTGTTAGCGACGAGAGTAGCGTTTATCAGCGTTATTTGTAACGAGTCGCGAGTAAATTAGAAAGCTCATACCGAGACAACTTTAATGCACACGTAATTTCTTACGGAAGGTGTCATGTAATTAATGAAATTTCGAGTGTTACGTTCCTCTCTTTTCCCCTCCTTCTCCTTTCCCTGGTGAATCCTAACCACCGTGTTAACTCCCGTAAATTTGGATTAATCCGGATTATATGGACTTATGCGTTTTAGTTCTTCTCTGGTCGACAAACTTATTACGAGCACGTTGCGCAAGCGCGACTGATTATATTTTGAACTTGACGCACAATGGCCGGCTAATTGGCATTTTTTTCTCGGATAAAACACTTTTGCACACAAAGTCTCTTGTGTGCGTAACAAGACAGTGTTGCGTAGTCACACGCTAGAGATGTGCTGATTCGCATTTGAATCTGGTGTGATCAAACGACAATCTGTCGCACATTATATATCCAATAATCCGTCGGTGACAACAAACTAAAGTCCGAGCCGCAAACGACTGTCAAAGTCACGCGCTCACACCAAACAGTTGTCACGTATGAGCTTGCGGCGTTCATACGCGCGTTTAACGCCGTATGAAGTTACACTGACACAATTGGTTCCCCATCATTTGCGCGTATGAGTGCGTACACTGTGATAATATTGCATCAAAATTATCCTCGCAATATTTGAGCACAGATGTTCGCTCAATGTTGGAAAATAGGAACATGACTTTGAACAAATTATATTTTGGGTGAGCGAACTTGTGGGAATAGAATGGTCGAGATAAAAAAAAGCTTTTTAGTATAATCTTTTAAAAACCTCACAGTAAATCTTCAACGAGAAAGAGAAAGAACAAAAAAAAGGAAGTAGAACATTCGCTAATTTCTTTGATTAATTAATTTATCGCGCGTTTTCTCGTTTTGGATTTCGTTGTAATTTACTGCGCGTCTGTTTCGCTAGACGTCTTTCGCTACACTTCCTGCACTGCGTATGCAAATGCGAGAATTAACATCACTAAACGTATTCGAATCGGATAAGCTGGTTAATGGGATTTTGTGTTATATAAAAACAAACCGATTGCTTACTTCAAAATAATCTTTTGATAAACATAATTTTTTTCCAACTTTTTTTCTGCGGCCGTTTAACATTTATCCACTTTCCTTTGTTACGCAGATGGCGTATTCAGAATTGCATAATAAATGAGCGATGTTTGTTATACAGTTCTTGGAAGAGAATATAAGTAACAATAGAGAAACTGGTGTTATCTTCTTCTTGAATCCATTTTCTAGTAATTTTGCTTTTGAGCAAAGATTCGTTGGGAGCAAGTGAATATAACATATAGAATGCTTTGTAGAAAATTAATTTCTGCAAAAACGTCGCGATGGATCTACTTCTAAATAAAATTTAATAATAGTAGTTATGATTTTCTCATATTTTATATACGTTATATATTTTTATTTTATTTTCTCTTTCTCTCTCTTCCTTCATTAGCGTTTCTTCCACCGTTTGAAAATTAAAACACTTGGGGGAGAGGAACATGTTGCGCGGAAAATAAATTTTCGAAATTCAGAGAGTAGAATCATTATGCAACGAGACAATGGCAGTGCCTAAGCGCAATAATTATTTCCCCCACTTTGTTCAA